GGGTGAGCGGGGTGCCGGTGTGCGCGTCCATGGGTGGCAGGGCGCCGGCGCCGGCGCGCGCGGGGCGTAGGAGGAGGAGAGGAGAGAGTGCGGCGCGAGCGGTCGAGTGTGCCGCGCGCTGTAGTAGGCGCCCGAAATACACCGCGCGGGATGGTGTTTCCGACAGCGCGCCCAACTCGTTATAGCGCGCGCGCAGTTTTTGCGCGCCCGCTGAAGCGGCCCGCCGCGTTGCGCGCGCGCTAAAACAGACTAATTTGCGGCGTGGCGCTAGTTTAGCGTGGCTGTTGGAGATGCTCTAACGCGCCGAGCTGGTGTTTTCTTTAACCAGAAGCGCAAAAACATGGTGCTCAATCCGACGACCCCACATGCAGCATCCACATATTTTGCAGCGCGCGTGAGTAGATACCAAATACGCAGCGCGCGATACAGTTTTCCCCAACGCGCAGGTTATAACGCGGCTGTTTTTTTTTTTTTGAGAAAATTTCATTCCAATTACGAATCAGTACAAAGTAGTTGATTCTTACAATCACACTGAAACGCAAACACAAAGGACCATTATAACGCGGCTGCTGGAGCGCTCATTTCGATGCTTTTTTTAGCACGCGGTGTATCTAGCGCATTTGAAGACTAAGAAATGCTCTTAGAGCATCTCCAACAGGCGCCCAAAATTGGACCGCGCGCTAAAATCCGGTTTTTTTGGGCGCCGGACAACTCCAACAGAAGCTGTAAAAAACAGTGCGCGCGTAAACAAGGGTTGTGCCGCGCTGAAAAACGCTATTAAAAACTGCAAATTTAAGGCGCGAGATTGCGCGCGCTTCACAATTTACACTGCGTGTTCGTTTGTGCATGTGTTTTTAGGCATCCGCTAAAGCAATGTTTGGTCCGGCACATTAAAAATGCTACAGTGACACACTAAAACTATTTATGGGCGCGAAATTTTTGTGCACCTGTTGGTCTTGCGCAATATCCTTTGCCACAGGGGAGTACCTATAACTCATCTAGATGAGATATAATTTGGTCTCATTCACTTTAAAAACAAGAACAAATACAACCCACATCAACACACACGCATCTTATAGCATCGCATCCAATAGCTATAAAAGGTGAATGCGACCAAATTATATCTCATCTAGATGAGTTCTAGCAAAACTGTTGCCACAGTGCCAAGTCAACCATCATGAAGCCAGGCCATAGCCGCCGCTGTCCTACTACCTTCGACCTTTCTTCCGTCACAACGGCGCCTCCACCCACGCCACGCCACGCCAGCTTCCTCCCGCAAAACAGCCGTCCAACCACGTCACTGCTCCGATCACACGTGAAGAAGCCGCCACCGGCGCTTTCCCACCCCCCACCGCGCAAGTTCGCCGCCCGACCCCGACCAACTCACTCACCTGGCCGCTTTCCTGCCCAAGTGCCGAGCCTATATCCGACAATAAACAACAACAAAAGTTCATCACGGTGCCGCCTATAACACCCTCCTCCCTCCATCACTTCACCATGCTGGGTCTTGTCCCCTCCTCATCCTCCTCCCACCTCCTCTGCCGCAGCCTCGCCGCCGCCAGGACGCTCTCTGTCGCCGCCGCCGGATCCTCCTCCTCCTCCTCTTCCGTCAAGGTAAATAACGTCCGCGCTCTGCTGCTCGGTGCTCGATCGATGGAGTCAGTTGTGCTCAGTGGTTGGTTGGTGCTCTGCTTTTTGTCAGATGGCGCGCTCGGCGCTGGACGAGGTCACCGACACCGGCGCCTTCGACCGGACGCCGTCCACCTTCCGGAGCTTCGTGTCCAGGGACGCCTCCGCCCGCTTCCCCGCGGTGGCGGGTAGGTACCACCTCTACGTCTCCTACGCCTGCCCCTGGGCGTCCCGCTGCCTCGCCTACCTCAAGCTCAAGGGCCTCGACCACGCCATCAGCTTCTCGGTGAGCACACCTGCAAACCAAGACCAAACCTCCGGTGACCGAATTAACTGGAGCATCAGCTGATGATAAAATTTGTGGCTCTTTAGTCCGTGAAGCCCATCTTCGAGCGGACCAGGGAGTCCGACGACCACCTGGGGTGGGTGTTCCCGGCCACCGCCGACGAGGTGCCCGGCGCCGGCCCCGACCCCTTCAACGGCGCCAAGAGCGTCAGGGATCTGTACGAGATCGCGAGCACCAACTACACCGGCAAGCCAACTGTTCCCGTGAGTCTTCTTCTTCTTCATCCCCATCCCCATCCCCGTCTGATTATGTAATTTCTGACTAATCGATGTTTGGTTGCCATGGCAGGTGCTGTGGGACAAGCAGCTGAAGACGGTGGTGAACAACGAGAGCAGCGAGATCATCCGGATGCTCAACGCCGAGTTCAACGACATCGCGGAGAACCCCGGGCTGGACCTCAACCCGGCGCACCTCCAGGCCTCCATCGACGAGGTCAACGGCCTGGTCTACGACGCCATCAACAACGGCGTCTACAAGTGCGGCTTCGCCAAGAAGCAGGGGCCATACGACGAGGCCGTCACGACGCTGTACGAGGCTCTGGACAAGTGCGAGGAGATCCTGGGCAAGCAGCGGTACATGTGCGGCAACCAGCTCACGGAGGCCGACGTCCGCCTCTTCGTCACGCTCATAAGATTTGACGAGGTATATATGGCTTCCTTTCTTCTGCTCTTTTAAGAATTGTTATAAGAAAAAAAAGTGAAGATCAACAGAAAACCTCCTCTTGTTCCCTTTTTAGCAACCGGAGTATATAATAGAATGGCCAAACCACCATAAAAGAAGTACTCCTACTATATATCTCCACATTTTGGAGAATTAATGACCAACTGTTAGCTGAGTTTTTAACTGCAAAGTCATCAAATTTGGTGAGAATTTACGACTGCACTGAAAATCAGGGAGCTGTCTGAAATGTCTATTTTTTGCATGAAAAAATCATGGAAGGGGAGAATTCAATAATAAAGTTCAGAATGTGCATATCTACTTAAATTTCAATTCAGTATCTAGCTATTCAGACACTCAAATTTCTTGCAGCAAAAAAGAAATTTTAAAAAACGGCTTTCCATGTCGAAACATACATTTTGATTTCAGCTGTTCGTTTCTCTTTTCAGGTTTACGCCGTTCACTTCAAGTGCAACAAGAAGCTCCTGAGGGAGTACCCTAACCTGTTCAACTACACCAAGGACATCTACCAGATCCCCGGGATCAACAGCACGGTGAACATGGAGCACATCAGGAAGCACTACTACGGGAGCCACCCCTCCATCAACCCCTACGGGATCATCCCTCAAGGCCCCAACATCGACTACAATGCCCCACATGACAGAGAGAGGCTGTTCCTGTAAAAAGAACCACCGTTTGCTTGTGTACTTGGGATGCTGTGATGTGATTTGCTTTGCTTGTGTCCGAAGCTGAAAGGTGAAAGCCTTTTTCTCAAATAATGATTTTTGTCTTTGCTGTGCGCTGGTTGTGGTACTGGGAGCAGCATGCGTGTAATAAGGTTCTCTGCATCCATGTCGTTTTCGTCCATTAATATGACAACACAGATGTAAATCAAGACAAAAGATATCCATGGTTGTATTACACCAAAAATATCAAATCAAAGTAAGAAATTACTTAACTATATTAATGAGAAAAATCACACCATACATACAGGCCCTCACAAATATGGAGTAGAAAAGCGACGAAGTTAAAAAAACACGCCTTCACCACCTCCTCTCCATCATGAATTTTAGTATTTTACACTTATGACATGTTTCACAAAATCAATGTGAAATACTAGGCAAAATCTAGCATAAATATAATTTATAATATAAATCTTGAAACCTACAAGTTTATACAACATTATCAAAATTTTAATTTAGAAATTGGCAGGGGCCGCGCGAACGCGTACCCCCTCTATCATAAATTATGACGTTCATTCTCCCACTTGAGGAGATGATAGGCGAGCACATCAACCAAGTGCAATGTTGGTCACTAGCCTAGGCCATGACCCTTCTTGATCGGCCATAGACCCCGTCCAGGTAAGTATGTTACAACAGAGCACTAGACGCTATTATATAGTGAGGGTGCCCCCTTCACCACCCTTTTAGCAAGCGGGGTGGTACTAATGACGGGTAATTAGCGCATCTGTCCTGCGGACTTGGCTTCAAAGATCGGGGCTAATTCGAACTTTTGGCCCGATAGACTTACATGGGCCAACCAAACTCCTTGTTCGGCTGTGGCCCAGGTCCAGCATTGCGACTGAGTCCTCTTATATGACGCTTTATGATCTTCTTGAAAAGAAAAATTGACGCTTCATCATGCGTCAAATAGTTGGGCAAACGCCCGTACCAGCCTAGATGCGCTGGAAGGGGAGCGGCCCTTTAAGTTTCTTGAGTTTTTTTTATTTGGAAAAGTAATCTTACATTGGTTACCAGGTTAAAGGGTTATATAAATTTAAAAATATGTTTATAAGAAGTACTTTTAAAGCAAATTAAATATCATAAATGGTATTGTGACTTCTTTTAAACATGTATTTGGAAAAAACCATCATGTGTTAAAAAATCATTGTATATTCGGAAAATGTTTAGGGTGCATTTAAAAGCATTGTTGTGTACATGCAAAATGTGCACCACATATTAAAATAAAAATTATTACTTATATAATAAAAATTGTTCAATGCATATCTAAAAATTGCATTCATTGTTTATTTGAAAATGTTCATAGTACAAAAAGTATATATAGAAAAGAGAAACAAAAATGAAAAAAAATGAAAGGAAACTAAACTAACCAAAAACTGGAGGAAAAGAAAGAAAAGGTAAACGAAACACTAAAAATGATGGAATAAATAAATAAAAATAAAGAGAAAAAGAAATAAGAAAACATGAATAACAATGAAAACTGAAGAAAAGGAAAATCGAACGGAAACCAGTAGCGAAAAAAATTGAAACCAAAAATCAAGACACCGCTAAAAAAATGTCATCATTTATCTGACCCATATCACTCGCATGATCACCCCAGTGTGTCGCAACGTCTATTTGGTGCTACGAGCATGAATTAGGAAATGTCACTACGTGTGCATCATCCGCCTGGACATCACAAGCGAGGAGGCCTTCTTCTTTCATTTAGAAAGCAGGGTGGCGAGAAGATGATGGTGGTATCTACCCTCAGAGGTGGATGTCTTTTGCAAACCATAGGATCATAGAATCTAGCATCAGTGCAGAACCTTGTATTGAAAATGTATTGTCAAGCCACTAGTCAGTCAATTAACTACACAAAATCATCCATATTCTTGAGCAAAAGAGGTGCTGGAAAGTACCCGGAATGAGATAAAAGCTCTCCTAAATGTCCCAAATAAAACCCCAAATGAAAACTATTTGGGCATGCCTATAGATATTGGGAACTACAAGAATGGTGTGTTTAAGTACCTTAAGGACCAGTTGTGGAGTAGAATACATGGATGGACTGAGAACAACATGTCAATAGCTGGTGAAGAGGTTCTAGTCAAGGCAATTGCACAGGTCGTGCCAGTTTACTCCATGTCATGTTTTAAACTCCCGTGAGGCTTATGTGAACACTTGAATATGATGATCGGAGGTTTTAGTGGGGTAGCAAAGAGGGCAAATGCAAGCCAGATTGGGTTTCTTGGAAATTATGACCCAACAAAAAGGTACGGGAGAGTTGAGTTTCAACAATTTCGAGCTCTTTAACTTGGCTATGCTGGGCATGATGCCTACTGCAAAATCCAGAGACTTTTAAGTGCCTGTCTCCTGAAAAGTATATACTATCCAAACGGTATGATCTTGAATACTTCTCTTGATGATCAGCCCAGTCAAGTATGGATGGTGATATTGAAGGGAGACAAACGTTGAGACAGGGTTTGATCAAAAGCATTGGCAACCGTCAAATCACAAGCATACGGGGATGGTAACTGGATTCCTCAAAATGTGATGATGAGACCATACGGGTGCCTGACTACCAATCCTCCCAATTTTGCGTCAGGTGATGCTACCTCGGCATAATGGAATAGACAAAGAGTTGTCGAGGTGTTTATGCCCATGGATGCGTGAGTGATCCTTGGAATACTCATGTACACTAGGAATATAGTGGATTTTTGGAGCTAGAGTTATGAGAAGAATGGATTTTTTGTGTGGAACTTAATCGTTGCCTGCTATAAGTTCTTGTATCATTTTTCTGGTCCACTCTATCTTAATCAGTGGATCCAGAAGAGTTGTTCTATGAATCTAGTGGATCCAAAAGTGGATTTTTAAAACCCGGGTGTATTGGAGGATCTTATTTTAAATACTTTGAAAATCACATTTAAGGTTTCAAAAAATTCTGAAAAAAATTCTACGTGATCATATGCATGTATATTACACATGAGTAAAGTTTGGTAATGAAATAAGTAAATATGCGACCTATACAAAAATGACAAAATGGTGATTTCCAAATAGTGAATAATGCATTCACTGTTCCTCTTTCCAAAATCACCATTGTGTCATTTTTGTGTAACTCACATGGTTACTTATTTCAGCATCAAAATTTACACATGTGTAATGTACAGTCATATAAACATGTTGATTTATTTTCAGAATTTTTTAAAACTTCAAAATAGCATTTTGGTACAGTTCAAAAATAGGGCTCCAATGCACCCGGGTTCCAAAGTGACTTTTTGGGCCAAATCACCATAAAAGAAGTATATATCTCCAGATATTGGAGAATGATCAACTGTTAGCTAAGATCTTAACTGCAAAGTCATCAAATTTGGTGAGAATTTACTACTACACTAAAAATCAGGGAACTGTCTGAAATGTTTGGTTTCTTATGGAAAAAAACAGGAAAGGTGAGAATTTTAACAATAAAGTTCAGAGTGTGCACATTATATTCAGAATATCTACTAAAATTTGAGTTTCATGTATACATCAAGCTATTCTCGCAAACTTATTTAGCGAAAACCATACCACACACTAAGAAATCAAATGCTACGACTTTCCATGTAGAAACGTACATTTTTGATTTTTTGACCCGCGGTTCGCTTCTCTTTTCAGGTTTACGCCGTTCACTTCAAGTGCAACAAAAAGCTCCTGAGGGAGTACCCCAACCTGTTCAACTACACCAAGGACATCTACCAGACCCCCGGGATCAGCAGCACGGTGAACATGGAGCACATCAGGAAGCACTACTACGGGAGCCACCCCTCCATCAACCCCTACGGGATCATCCCCCAAGGCCCCAACGTCGACTACAATGCCCCACATGACAGAGAAAGGCTGTTCCTGTAAACAAAAAACGCCGTTTGCTTGTGTACTTGATGGTGCTGTGATTTGCTTTGCTCAGTGTCCGAAGGTGAATTTTTAACGAAAATGCTGATGGAGCAGCTTTTCATTGATATTGTGGGGGTTTGAAGAGAGTTAATTTACAGCAGTTTGTGAGAGAGTAGCCCTAGAGTTTTGTGTAGGGTGTAAAGGGTGTTGGACTAGCTCGGATGTTCTCATCTAGCTAGTGCCATTTCTTGTACATTATATCTTCTGCCTACTCTCGAAAATTTTTTTACAGCAGTTTTACATGTGCAGTCCTCCACTAGTTGGACATGCCATCTCCGTTTCCTGTACTAAGATTTCCTAGTCTGGTTCTCTTGGTCTGTTGAGGAGAGAGATGGCCTTGCCCCGTCCCGCCCTGTTCCAGACTGCTGCCTCTTCAATCATCCGTTCCACCACAGTCGTTTGCGGCGATGGTTGGTTTCTGAATATCATTGCGTTGCCTTCGTTCCATATCGACCACCAAACCAGCTGTACGAGTGCGCTCCATGGCTTCTTTGCTGATGCAGAAATGATGCCATTGGACTGCTCAATCCAAAGCACCAGGGAAGATGTGGTGGAGTCGGGAGCGAGGCCCGGATGAAGGTTGCAGCGAGCAATGACGTTGTGCCAAATTCGGATGGAGACGGGACAGGAAGCTAGCAGGTGCACTACATCCTACATTGGCCCATTGCATAGAGAGCAAGACGGATTGTGAGGCCAGCCTTTCCTCGCAAGGACGTCGGCCGTGTTGCAGCGTCCAAGCAGCGCCAACCACGCAAAAAGCTTGCATTTTCCCGGCGCATCAGATTTCCAAAGGAACGCAACCCACGATGGCCGAGTGCAGCCCTCAAACTGAATCTTGTAAGCCGATCTCGCCGTGTACACGCCGTCTGCTATCCATTTCCACTGAACTCGATCAGGCTCTTGTGTTAAGTGTATATTTTGGATTGCCTCCCACAATTTCAGGAAGTCCCTCGTCGCCTGAGCAGAGAGGTTGGCTGTGAGGTGTCGGATCCATGTGTTGTTCTCCACGGCCTGTGCAACGGTGAGGTTTTTCCTGGTGCAATGCTGAAACAACGCCGGGAAAGCATCCTGTAGGTTGATGCCCTTAAACCACGGCTCCTTCCAAAAGAGAATGCGGTCACCCTTGCCCAACTAGAAGTCAACAGATGCGTTGATGTTGGAAATATGCCCTAGAGGCAATAATAAAAGGATTATTATTATATTTCCTTGTTCATGATAATTGTCTTTTATTCATGCTATAATTGTATTATCCGGAAATCGTAATACACGTGTGAATACATAGACCACAATACGTCCCTAGTAAGCCTCTAGTTGACTAGCTCGTTGGTCAACAGATAGTCATGGTTTCCTAACTATGGAAAGTAGATGTCGTTGACAACGGGATCACATCATTAGGAGAATGATGTGATGGACAAGACCCAATCCTAAGCATAGCACAAGATCGTGTAGTTCGTTTTGCTAGAGCTTTTCCAATTTCAAGTATCTTTTCCTTAGACCATGAGATCGTGTAACTCCCGGATACCGTAGGAGTGCTTTGGGTGTATCAAACGTCACAACGTAACTGGGTGACTATAAAGGTGCACTACAGGTATCTCCGAAAGCGTCTGTTGAGTTGACTCGGATCGAGACTGGGATTTGTCACTCCGGATAACGGAGAGGTATCACTGGGCCCACTCGGTAGTGCATCATCATAATGAGCTCAAAGTGACCAAGTGTATGGTCATGGAATCATGCATTACGGTACGAGTAAAGTGACTTGCCGGTAACGAGACTGAACGAGGTATTGGGATACCGACGATCGAGTCTCGGGCAAGTAACATACCGTCTGACAAAGGGAATAGTATACGGGGTTGTTTGAACCCTTCGACATCGTGGTTCATCCGATGAAATCATCGAGGAGTATGTGGGAGCCAACATGGGTATCCAGATCCCGCTGTTGGTTATTGACCGGAGATCCGTCTCGGTCATGTCTGCATGTCTCCCGAACCCGTAGGGTCTACACACTTAAGGTTCGGTGACGCTAGGGTTATAAGGAAGACTTGTATGTGATTACCGAATGTTGTTCGGAGTCCCGGATGAGATCCCGGACGTCACGAGGAGTTCCGGAAGGGTCCGTAGGTAAAGTTTTATATATGGGAAGTTGTCATGCGGACACCGGAAAGTTTCGGGGGCATATCGGTATTGTACCGGGGCCACCGGAAGGGTTCCGGGGGTCCACCAGGAGGGGCCACCCCTCTCGGAGGGCCCCATGGGCCGCATGGGGCAGGGAACCAGCCCTTGGAGGGCTGGGCGCACCCCCCTTGGGCCCATGCATGCGCCTAGGGTTGGGGGGGGGGGAACCCTAAAGGGGGTGCACCCCCTTTGCTTGGGGGGCAAGCCCCCTCCCTGGCCGCCGCCCCCCCTCTAGATCTCATCTAGAGGGGGCCGGCCCCCTTCCCCCTTCCCCTATAAATAGAGGGGCGACGGGAGGGCTGAACACCTGATCCAAGGCGCAGCCCCTCCCCTCTCCAACACCTCTCCTCCTCCGTTAGCGCTTGGCGAAGCCCTGTCGGAGTACTGCCTCTCCACCAACACCACGCCGTCGTGCTGCTGCTGGAGTTTTCTTCCTCAACCTCTCCTTCCCCCTTGCTGGATCAAGAAGGAGGAGACGTCGTCCATACCGTACGTGTGTTGAACGCGGAGGTGTTGTCCGTTCAGCACTTGGTCATCAGTGATTTGGATCACGGCGAGTACGACTCCATCATCCCCGTTCCCTTGAACGCTTCCGCACGCGATCTACAAATGGTATGTAGATGCAATCTCTCTCCCATGACTCATTGCTTAGATGAACTCATAGATGAATCTTGGTGAAACCGTAGGAAAAAATTTAATTTTCTCCAACGTTCCCCAACAGTGGCATCATGAGCTAGGTCTATCCGTAGTTCTCTATTGCACGAGTAGAACACAATTTTGTTGTGGGCGTAGATCTTGTCAACTTGCTTGCCGCTACTAGTCTTTTCTTGCTTCAGCGGTATTATGGGATGAAGCGGCCCGGACCGACCTTACACGTACGCTTACGTGAGACAGGTTCCACCGACTGACATGCACTAGTTGCATAAGGTGGCTAGCGGGTGTCTGTCTCTCCTACTTTAGTTGGAGCGGATTAGATGAAAAGGGTCCTTATGAAGGGTAAATAGAAGTTGACAAAATCACATTGTGGTTATTCGTAGGTAAGAAAACGTTCTTGCTAGAACCCAATTGCAGCCACGTAAAAGATGCAACAACAATTAGAGGACGTCTAACTTGTTTTTGCAGCAATTGTCATGTGATGTGATATGGCCAGAAGTTGTTATGAATGATGAATGATATATTGTGATGTATGAGATCATGTTCTTGTAATAGGAATCACGACTTGCATGTCGATGAGTATGACAACCGGCAGGAGCCATAGGAGTTGTCTTTAATTTTGTATGACCTGTGTGTCATTGAAGAACGCCATGTAAATTACTTTACTTTATTGCTAAACGCGTTAGCCATAGAAGTAGAAGTAGTCGTTGGCGTGACAACTTCATGAAGACACAATGATGGAGATCATGATGATGGAGATCATGGTGTCATGCCGGTGACGAAGATGATCATGGAGCCCCGAAGATGGAGATCGAAGGAGCTATATGATATTGGCCATATCATGTCACTACTATATAATTGCATGTGATGTTTATTATATTTTATGCATCTTGTTTACTTAGAACGGCGGTAGTAAATAAGATGATCCCTTATAATAATTTCAAGAAAGTGTTCCCCCTAACTGTGCACCGTTGCTAAAGTTCGTCGTTTCGAAGCACCACATGATGATCGGGTGTGATAGATCCTTACGTTCACATACAACGGGTGTAAGACAGATTTACACATGTAGAACACTTAGGGTTAACTTGACGAGCCTAGCATGTACAGACATGGCCTCGAAACACAGAGACCGAAAGGTCGAACATGAGTCGTATGGAAGATACGATCAACATGGAGATGTTCACCGATGATGACTAGTCCGTCTCACGTGATGATCGGACACGGCTTAGTCGACTCGGATTGTGTAACACTTAGATGACTAGAGGGATGTCTAATCTGAGTGGGAGTTCATTAAATAATTTGATTAGATGAACTTAATTATCATGAACTTAGTCTAAAAAACTTTTGCAAAATATGTCTTGTAGATCAAATGGCCAACGCTCATGTCAACATGAACTTCAACGCGTTCCTAGAGAAAACCAAGCTGAAAGATGATGGCAGCAACTATTCGGACTGGGTCCGGAACCTGAGGATCATCCTCATAGCAGCCAAGAAAGATTATGTCCTAGATGCACCGCTAGGTGAAGCACCCATCCCAGAGAACCAAGACGTTATGAACACTTGGCAATCACATGCTGATGATTACTCCCTCGTTCAGTGCGGCATGCTTTACAGCTTAGAACCGGGGCTCCAAAAGCGTTTTGAGAAGCACAGAGCATATGATATGTTCGAGGAGCTGAAAATGGTTTTCCAAGATCATGCCCGGGTCGAGAGATATGAAGTCTCCGACAAGTTCTATAGTTGTAAGATGGAGGAAAACAGTTCTGTCAGTGAGCACATACTCAAAATGTCTGGGTTGCACAACCGCCTGTCCCAGTTGGAGATCAACCTCCCGGAAGAGGCGGTCATTGACAGAATCCTTCAGTTGCTCCCACCGAGCTACAAGAGCTTTATGTTGAACTACAATATGCAGGGGATGGTGAAGACCATTCCTGAAGTATTCTCAATGCTGAAGTCAGCAGAGGTTGAAATCAAGAAAGAACATCAAGTGTTGATGGTCAATAAGACCACTAAGTTTAAGAAGGGCAAGGGTAAGAAGAACTTCAAGAAGGACGACAAAGATGTTGCCGTGCCCGGTAAGCCAGTTGCCGGGAAGAAGTCAAAGAATGGACCCAAGCCTGAGACTGAGTGCT